GGCGAGAGAAGCAGCGGTGCTGAGTGTGAAGCTTCCCGCATGTCTGACCAGCACGGCCACTTGTGCGAATGACATACGGGCAGCTACCACTACCCCCAGACGCCCCACGCTGAAACAACCACTCACGAAGCTGCTGGGGCGACGGGGTCTCCCTCCGACGCTACTGATGCTGCCTCTGGCCACCACTAGAGCCTCCACGCTGAGCTCCAGTCCTACCGCCACCACTCCCACTGCTGCCACTATCGCCACTCCCACCGCTACCTCCACCGCCACCACCAACGCCCCCACTCCCGCCACCACTCCCATAGCTGCCACCACCTCCACTACCTCCACCACCTCCACTGCTGGCCCCACCACCACCCCCGCCGCCACCTCCACCACCCCTACCACCCTTGCCCTTGCTGCTGCGGCGCTTCCCACTAGCGGAAGCAGCGCCGACATCCTCAGCTCCAAGGAAGTCAACAGCAGCACCAGAGGCGTGGGAGGGGGCAAGGGGGGAGGGGGGACACCCCTACAAGAAGGGTGTGCGAGGAGTGCCACGAGCAGCACCTACAACGACTACACTAGTCTCAGCTGCAAGGAAGTGCTGCTTGAGTAGGTCAACAATGAGGGCTGTGGGGTCGAGCGCGAGAAAGTGGTCCCTGACAGCGCGAAGAGAGTCAGGGAGGCGGGTGACTATAAAGTAGAGAGTGATGTACATAGGGGGCGGGTTCGTGTCAAGGAACTCTGCTGGGAGGGCAGCGCGGTAGCGAGCGACGCTAGTGCGAAGGTGGGAAACTAGATCCTCTACTGTGGCAAAGGCGGACAGCTCGGGAAACAGGTAGGGCGGGAGAAGACGGCCTAGAGCAGCAGTGGCAGGTGAGGAGTAGCGGGCGACTACAGCGTCGTACAGTGCCTGTGCTGTCCTGTGCTGTCCGAAGTGAGCGCATTCGGCCAACGGAAGGTGGTTGCGAATGGCTAAGCGAGCAGCAGCGTCACGAGTAATCCACTGTGAGCGAGTTGCATTGTCTGCTGTGGCGGGTGGGGTGGGAGCAGCGCCAAACGTGCGGTCAAACAACGAAACACTGTCCCTAGATTCGCTCAGTAGGTACAGCTGCAAGTCGTCGAGCCACGTGTCAAACTGGATCGGTCGGCCCTCATGATCGAACGCTAGAGAAGCCATAGTGGCGCAGCACGCAGGGCGGGCAGAGGCCGGGCAGCACAGTGCAGGCAGCAGGCTGCAGGAGGGGCGGCTCGAGGGTCTAGGGGCGGCCTCAGGGCGACGTGTCGGGGCCTAGGGGCGACGGGCCGCGGGGCCATGGGCTAGGAGCGACGGGCCGAGGGGCGGGGAGCGACGGGCCGGGAGCCTAGGGGCGACGGGCCACGGGGCCAAGGGGCGACGGGCCGGGGGCTCTAGGGGCCAAGGGGCCACAGGGCCACGGGGCCAAGGGGCGACGGGCCGGGGGTCTAGGGCCGGGGGGGGAGGGGGCGGGAGCGACTGACCGGGAGCCTAGGGGCGACAGGCCACGGGGCCAAGGGGCGACGGGCCGGGGGCTCTAGGGGCCAAGGGGCCATGGGGCCAAGGGGCGATGGGCCGCGGGGCCAGGAGCGACGGGCCGGGGGCCTAGGGGCGTCAGGCCGCGGGGCCTAGGGGCGACGGGCCGCGGGGCCGAGACCGACGGGTCGGGGGCTGAGGTGCGACGGGCCGCGGGGCCTAGGTGCGACGGGCCGCGGGGCAATGGGCGATGGGCTACGGGGCCGGGAGCGACGGGCCGGGGGCCTAGGGGCGACAGGCCGCGGGGCCCAGGGGCGACGGGCCGCGGGGCTAGGAGCGACAGGCCGCGGGGCCGAGGGGCGTCGGGCTGCGGGGCCTAGGTGCGACGGGCCGCGGGGCCAGGAGCGACGGGCCGGGGCCTAGGTTAGGGCCGACGGGCCGCGGGGCCAGGGGCGACGGGCTAACGGGCCGGGCTAGGGCGACGGGCCGGCCTAGGGGCGACGGGCCGGACTAGGGGCGACGGGCCTAAAGTCCGGGCTAGGGGCGACGGCCAAGCTGGGGGCGACGTGCCTACGGGCCGGGCTAGGGGCGACGGGCCGGCCTAGGGGCGACGGGCCTAGGGGCGACGGGCCGAGGCTAGGGGCGACAAGCCGCACGAGGGTGGTGTGTGAGGCAGTAGGGGCGGCACGAGAGCCGCTAGGGGCTGCTAGTGGGGCAGCGTGTGGTGGGCCTAAGGAAAAGAAACGGTCCTAGCGAAGGACCTGCTCTGAAACCATGTCAGAATAACGAACGAGAATGAATGAACTATGAAAGAGTTGGGTACAAGTACTAACCCTAATTGGGTTGTACCCCGTATGGGCTACCCCACTATAGCCTACACAAATGTAAGCACTATAACATTCTGATAGATCTCAAATCCAGCCTCTGAAATAACGTGCCCCAAAAATTCTAGCTGGTCCTGAAAAAACTCGCACTTGGAACCCTTGGTCAGTAGGCGGTGCTCGTCTAAAACCTTAAACACTGCACCCAGATCTGCTATGTGCTGCTTCTTATCGCGACTGTAGATGAGGATGTCGTCGAGGTAAACTATCAGCACACTTATCTAAAAGTGGCCTAAACGCCTCGTTCATGGTCATCTGAAAAGCCGTCGGTGCGTTGGTCAGCCCGAATGACATCACTATGTACTCGAAAGACCCGTATCTAATTCGAAAAGCCGTCTTGGCGCAGTCCGATGGTTCGACCCTAATCTGATGGTAACCTCCCCGTAGATCTATTTTCGAAAAGACCCGTGTTGTTCGCAGTTGGTCTATTAGTTTGTCGGCGCGGGGAATGGGGTATCGCGACTTGACTGTTACCCTGTTCAGTGCTCTGTAGTCGATGCACATGCGAAACCCGCCGTCATTTTTCGGTGTGAACAGTATCGGTGCAGCGAACAGTGACGAGCTCGGTCGGATGAACTTCTTCTCTAACAGGTAATCCAATTGCTTCCTCAGTTCATCAAGCTCGGGCTGTGTCAGTCGAAACTGTCGCTGTAAAGTTGGTTGTGCCCCCGGTTCTAATTCTATTCTGTGGTCATGTGCCCGCTGAGGTGGCAGTCCCTCCGGTAAGTCATCCTGGAAAATCCCCGGGCACCGTTTCAACAGTTCCTGTAATTCTGGCGAAAAGTTTCTGAAAATCGCTCGGCGCCTCTGCTTCTCCTACCACTGCGATATCCACTGCGTACACGTCAGCTCCAGCGGCGACATCCCATTTCATCGTGATGGCGTTGACGTGGACCGTTGAAAACTCGGGCGACTGCCAGCGAGGTAGCTCGACCCATTTACCGCTTCTTCACACAGTGCAGCTACCCGTCGTCCAGTCAATCCGCGGGTTGTAATCGCGCAGCCAATCACGTCGTAGTAGAATGTCGTGCCCATCGAGTGTCGTCGCGAGCATTTCCTATGTAAATCCGAAGTTCCCCCCCGCAGCGAATCTTCACCCTCTCCACTTTTTCCCCGTATGGCCAGCGGTGTGCCGTCAACTAAACGTGCGTCAATCTCAGGTAAGCAGCGGCTAAGTGTCAGTTGCAGCTTCCGTGCGGTCACGGTATTAACTAAACTGTAACTTGCCCCTTCGCTAAAAAAATCTTCACTAATGTACCCTTTTTTTCCGTGAATCAGTACTGGACAATCCGTCGCTGTACCCTCCTTATTCATCCGAGCCCGATCGATGGCTTGAATCGGTACTGTGACTCGGTGAGGGTCGGTGAGCCAAGAGCACACTCACCCCCGACGGACGGATGACATGCAGACTTAGACTCAGCAACAAGAGCAGTGGCGTAGTCGAGACGACAGATGGTAGCGCGCCACTCTGCTCTGCTCGCTATGGCTTCTCTCAGTGTACTCACCTTCGATCATGAGAGCTGTCCGATCCAGTTCGATACGTGGCTCGATGACTTTCAGCTGTATCTACTAAGCGATTCTAGAGACATCGTTTCGTTGTTTGACTACACATCTGGAGCCTCTCTCGCCCCTCCCGCCACAGCTGACAGTGCGACTCGGTCACGGTGGCTTACGCGTGACGCTGCTGCTCGCTTAGCCGTTCGCAACCACCTGCCGTTAGCCGAACGAGCTCACTTTGGCCAGCACAAGACTGCTAAAGCACTGTACGACGCTGTAGTCACTCGTTACTCCTCCCCTGCCACTGGTGCTCTAGGCTGCCTTATACTGCCCTACCTGTTTCCCGAGCTGTCCGCCTTTGCCACAGTCGAGGACCTCGTTACCCACCTCCGCACTAGCGACACTCGCTACCGCGCTGCCCTCCCAGCAGAGTTTCTTGACAGGAACCCGCCCCCGATGTACATCACTCTCTACTTTATAGTCACCCGCCTCCCTGACTCTCTTCGTGCAGTCAGGGACCACTTTCTCGCACTTGACCCCACAGACCTCACTGTCGATCTGCTGGAGAAGCACCTCCTTGCAGCTGAGACTAGCGTAGTCGCTGTAGGTGCTACTCGTGGCACTCCTCACACGCCCTTATTTGAGGGGTGTTCCCCCTCCCCCCTTGCCAGCTCTTACGCTTCTGCTGTTGCTGTTGACATCCTAGGCACTGGGGATGTCAGGACTGCTTCTGCTCTTAGTGGGAAGCGCCGCAGCAGCAAGGGCAAGGGTGGCAGGGGTGGTGGAGGTGGCGGAGGTGGCGGTGGAGCACACTCACCCCCGATGTCAGTTTTGACTGCACGCGCTGACCAATGATACAAAGTAAGGAAAAGTGTTTTTTCCTTAATGGGTGCCAGAATTTGTTGCATAAGCAAGCTACAAATACAAGTTGTTCTCACCTTTCTGTTCCGCTGACGCTGCTTGGGTACTGGTCGGCAACAGAATATGTTTCCCTCCCCGGTAATATATGCAATGCCTGAAGCCCTAACACCACCAGAAATAATTGCTGCTCTAGACCAAGCAACGCATGCAGCTTTCAATTCAAATACCTGTGGAATTACATCAAATGATGATCACATCTGTTACAATCAAGATAAAACCCTTTTTGTCTAAGACCGGGGCTTTTCTTTCTTTTCCTTGAAGAGAGCGAGCAGCGACACACCAGACACCTTCACCACTTTGAACCGCACACCGGGAATATCTCCCACAGCGTGCCCCTTACGTCCGAATCCGGCAATGAGCACCTCGTCCTGTTGGGGTGAGAGGGGCGGGGAGGAAAGGAGAGGCGTGGAGGAATGGGATGGTGGAGGGGATGTGAGCGGGATTAAGACAATAAGCACATCGTTCTGAAACAGAAACATAAAACGCAACCAGGATCCCCTCTGCTGTTCCAAGTTATTTTCCCTTCCGTCCACCCCCTGGACGCTCGCCGTCCACTCACGTTTTCCTCGATGCAGTAACATGTAGTTCTGGGCAAGAACGAGACTATCTTCTACAATTACCCTAGCCTCCCACCCCCCCGTAACAATCACGTTTGCATTGTATCCCTTCCTCCTTTTCTCCCCCCACCCCCTCCCCTCCCTCTTCCCCTCCCCTTCTCCCCCTCCCCTGTGCGCCAGCACTCACGTTCTCCTCGATGAAGTTGAGGCAACCGTCGTTGGGCACGAACGCGGCGATCTTCTTGCCGTTCTTGATCAGCTGCACTCGCGCGCACTTACGAATAGCGGAGTTAGGCTGCTTCGCCTCAATACCACTGAGAAAGAGGGACAGATAAGGAGCGATAGGGGGAGGGGCGAAAGGAGGGGGTGCTAAGTCTTGTTGCCGTTCTTAACCAGCTGCACTCGCGCGCACTTGCGAATGGCGGAGTTGGGCTGCTAGGCAAGAAAAAGCCACTGGAAAAATATATTTTACATCTTATCAAGCACGATGCCCTTGGCGTGCGAGAAGAGGGGCCCATAAAGGGTTAGAGGCATAAGACGACACGCGAAACAGAAAGAGCAAGTGCGGAACCGGGGAAACACGTTGGAAAAAGAAATTTACATCTTCTCGAGCACGATGCCCTTGGCGTGAGACGAGCCCATGAAGGGTTTCTTCCACTCGTTGCCCTGGTGGCTCTTCTTGTACTGCTTGTCCGCCCACAGCTGGTTGCGCCGGTGGTTGCGCAGCTTGCGCCCGGCTCCCATACCACGCGTCTTACTGCGCGGACACAAGCGGGGAGGGATTGGGGGGGAGCGGGAACGCACAAAGAGAATAGTCACCAGCATTGGGTGCCATGCCAAATGGTCGAACACAGAAGCTGCGGGAACCGGGTCACACGGCCCGTAGCAAGGATCAGTTGACGACGACGCCAAATGATGCCAACCATGCCGCGAGGATCCGCAGCACGAGGATTTCCATTTGCCATGGTACTGGTAATTAGGTACCGCATGGCTCGACTACGAGGTCAACTCCGAAAGAAACTATGAAGCGCTAACTACTGCGGCTGAGCGTAATAATGAACGTTGATCATTGAGGCTATACAAAGCTTTGCGGCTGGCTTGAAGCACCAGAGGCTGTGCCTAACGAAACACTGAAGTTGTATCGCCAGGCCTTTTTAGGGTTCGGATCGAATTAAACGGGACTGGATCTAACAAACCCCGAAGAACGAATCCGTAGAACAAGAATCGTGTGAGAACGATATAGTGCAACTATTGTGGACGGAAAAGAAAAAAATAACGGAGTCGATGCTCAAATCGGTGATTCGAGAGCCAGTGTGTGCAATTACGTGCAACGGATTTATAACTTTTAGGAGCCACGCGAATGCAATCGTTACCCATGGCACTTGATTCGGCAAATGAAACGTTCAGCAAGAACGTCCTGCCGTGATCCTGTAAAACCCTAGACCTGTCATCTCGATACGCAGCTCGGTTTGGAGGCTGCAGAACGCGCAACGCCTCAATAACGCCTTATATATTAAGGGATAATAACTCACCCCATGGTGGCGACTGGATGCGGAGCGACGAGGGTGAGGTGACGAGACGAGGTGGGAAACGAGGTAACAAGCCTCGGAGTTAGAAGGGAAAGGGAGGTAAGGAGAAAGGAGTCTTTTGGTTGGAGGAGGTTGTGAAGAGGAGGGCGGAGAGGTAAGAGGGGAGGGTCGAAGCTGCATTTCGGAACTGCGAGAGGATTTCCGCATTGTGCCTGTATCGAGGAATTTCACTTCAATGAGTGCAAGAAAACAGAGTAATATTTGAGCATGGTTATGATTAGAAAGTTCAATATTTTAGGCGTGCAACTAGTGCAGGTGACCATAGTTTGATAATCACGAGTTGTTTGGCAAAAAAAACATATTGTAAATATATAATTAATAATTTTATAACATGTGCGCTGTATGATTTACGAGTCGGACATTTTTTTGTCTGGGTTTACTTTTTTCATGCTAGATGCTCCTCGTGAACATTCACCACTCGTACGCATAGCACTAAATAAGCCAGATAGTGTATCTTTATCATAATTTCAACCAAAGCTTTTCACGTTCGAAGGCTCCAGACCACCACAACACAGCACAGCACACCGCACCCCAGAAGATACTTTCAGGGAATCCATCTGATTGGTCACGAGCCAGCGCAAAGTAGGCAACAGCCTCCCTCGTGAAAGTGGTTCCCGTCCCGTGCCGAGCCAGCGTGTAAAGGGTTTTGGCTCGCGTCACTAACAAATACCTAGGGGACTTGATGTGATCGAGGCCGTCCGAGCAGCTTCATCGGATGGGAGATCGACGACCGTCCAGCGTTTTTGACCCTGATATTCTCCAACCTCCACCCCCAACCTCTCCCACCTCTCCCAGCCAGTGGATGCAATACAAATCTGAGCAATTTTACCAAAACCCTCATTTCGTTTCTTCTCAACAGCAGTTTCACTTTTACCTTGTCACCAGCGGCATCAGCAACAGCAACTTCAGCAAGAGAAGCTGAACGTTGTGTGTTCTGCTATCACGCTTGACCTGATCTCTGTTTTGCAGCAGTCAGCTTGATTCAGTATGAGTGACGAGGAGCTCCGCTGCTTTGTGGGTGGCCTCTCGTGGGGCACGGATGACCGCGCTCTTTCGGATGCTTTCCACGACTATGGAGCCGTTGACGCTAAGGTTCGATGATTGTGACTTTCGGAACTTCATGGATTACCTTTTTGACGCTACCGGCCTCGCCGATTTAATGTTTCGATCTGGATCTGCTGCTCCTGGACATTGATTGACGGGGTTTAACAGCGCCTGATTGGCGGATTTCTGACGAAGCATGCATGGCGGGGTTCCGTGTTCTGATGAGGGAGCTTGACGTGCCGGATTCTTATGTTCGGAAACTCTTTACCTGAGCTCGTTGCGATGGAAACCGTCCTGTTCAGGTTGTGAATGACCGAGAAACCGGCCGCTCCCGAGGGTTTGGATTTGTGACGTTCAACGACAAGGCCGGCATGGACGATGCTATCAAGGCCATGAACGGCAAGGAACTTGACGGCCGGACAATTACCGTCAACGTTGCTCAACCTCGTGGAAGTGGAGGTGGGCGCAGCGGCGGTGGCGGATACGGCGGCGGCGGCGGTGGTTATGGCGGCGGTGGTGGTGGATACGGTGGTGATCGCGGTGGCGGTGGCGGATACGGCTCGAGGGACCGCGGAGGCGGCGGCGGCGGTGGTGGAGGAGGCGGCTGCTACAAGTGCGGCGAAGATGGGCATTTTGCCCGCGAGTGCCCTAGTGGAGGCGGCGGTGGTGGCGGTTATGGCGGTGGTGGTGGCGGCGGCTACGGCGGCGGAGGTGGCGGTGGCCGTTATGGGTCTGACCGCGGTGGTGGTGGTGGCAAGCCTAGGTCCGGTCCCTATGACAGATCTGGTGGTGGAGACCGCAAAGATAGATATGATGACCGTTACTAAATAACGCGTTTGCTTCCAAGGCTTTGGAAAGATTGATTTGTTTAGCACTACATAAATCACTGTTCAGTTGTGCTTTTGCAGTTACATCGCAATGTGCGTACATGTATGAGGTGCTGATTTCCATGTAGCTACAAATGATATGAGTGACTTGAGTGATAGCTGAAGAATTGTATTGTTGTGGTTCACCACCACTAGGTGCTTATTGCAAATCTTCCTCTAGTCCACCACCCCATTCGTGAAAGGCATCAGTCAAATGCAGCTGCGATTCCGAATGTTCGTGAAATATTAATCATATATCGCTTTATATCTGGTCACACTGACGAGTTTGCTTGTTGGCCGCGTACGCGGTAGTAGCCGCGGCCCCACAAAAGCTGACATAACTTGTCCCATGCTTTCCTCAGCCACGAAGCACTGCAGGGTGACAGCCACACAGCCCGTTTAGGACGCCCGTCTAGGACGCCGCAGATTCATATTGGAGTGTACATTCTTGATCCCGGTGGAGAATTCTTCGCTCGAACTCGGTCGCTCAGATTTTATTCTGTTTGTCCCGTAGCGCTCCCGCGTCAGGAATGTCAGCCACAGTCGCAGAAGCGGCGGCAGCGCGAGTGGCGGCGGCAGAGGCGGCGGGAATCACGCTGTCCGCTGAAGTGAAACGCGCCTTTCTCGCCGGGCGCCCTGTCGTAGCGCTAGAATCGACCATAATCTGTCATGGTACGCCGCGGTTCAGTGCGGTGCAGCAGCAATGCGCTGCAAGCTTATCTGAGTCAGACACTGCCAACCCCGCCGTGCTCCGAGTTGACTTTTGAGTCGACTCAAATGTCAACTCGCTGCAAGCTTATCAGACACCGCCAACCCCGCCGTGCTCCGATCCGCGGAACCTTTAGGCTCCGCAAACCGCAGAAACGTGGCCTGATGATGAGCTTTGGGACGTCTCAAATTCCGTACAAGCTTCAGATTCTGTTTGACTGCACGGATTCTGTTGACTGCACGGATTCTGTTTGACTGCACGGATTCTGTTGACTGCACGGTTTCTGTTGACTGCACGGATTCTGTTGACTGCACGGATTCTGTCGTCTGCATGGATTCTGTCGACTGCACGGATTCTGTTGACTGCACGGATTCTGTCGACTGCACGGACGGGCTTATCACGCCCATCTTGCAGGGGCAGACGAAGATGAGGGGGCTGCTGCAGCAGTGAATTCCCCCCACACCCTTCCTGACACCTCCCCGCCGTTCCCCTGTTCCCTGTTCCCCCACCATCCAAGGCATGCCGTACCCGCAGAACCTGCAGGCAGCAGAGGGCGTGGAGTGGAGGTTTGGCGCATCATTGTCTCTGCCTCCCCACACCTCTCTTCCCCTTCCTCACACCCCCTGTCTGTCCCCACCATCCAAGGCATGCCGTACCCGCAGAGCCTGCAGGCAGCAGAGGGCGTGGACGCTATTATTCGGAAGGAGGGGGGTGTGCCAGCCACCTATCCTGCCTCGTTCCTTCCCATTTCCCCCTTTTCCCTGCCTCTCGCCCCACCAAGGCATGCCGTACCTGCAGGACCTGCAGGCAGCAGAGGGCGTGGAGGCTATTATTCGGAAGGAGGCAGTGCCGGCTAAACGTCTTCCCTGGCCCTGCCGACCTCTCGCACCCGCCTCCCCCACCCGCCCTCTTCCCCCAACAAGGCATGCCGTTCCCACAGAACCTGCAGGCAGCAGAGGGCGTGGAGGATATTATCCGGAAGGAGGGGGCAGTCTCGGCCACCATTGCCATCACTGCTCGCTGCCCTCGTCTCTCCCTCACACCTCATCTTTCCTTCCTCCCCATTCCCTGCCCCCACCACCCAAATGAAGCCGTATCCACAGAACCTGCAGGCAGCAGAGGGCGTGGAGGATATTATCCGGAGGGAGGGGGCTGTGCCGGCCACCATTGCCATCACTGCTCGCTGCCCTCGTCTCTCCCTCACACCTCATCTTTCCTTCCTCCCCATTCCCTGCCCCCATCACCCAAGGGATGCCGTATCCACAGAACCTGCAGGCAGCAGAGGGCGTGGAGGATATTATCCGGAGGGAGGGGGCTGTGCCGGCCACCATTGCCATCATTGACGGCCGGCCGTGCATAGGTGAGTGATTGGTGCATCAGGTGGGCCGCATGCATGTTTGAGTCATAGGCCGCATGGCCGCATTGCCATCATTGACGGCCGGCTGTGCATAGGTGAGTGATTGGTGCATCAGGTGGGCCGCATGCATGTTTGAGTCATAGGCCGCATGGCCGCATTGCCATCATTGATGGCCGGCCGTGCATAGGTAGGTGGTTGGGCCGTGCATAGGTAGGTGGGTGGGCCGTGCATAGGTAGGTGGGTAGGCCGGCATGCCGTGCATCAGGTAGGTAGGTGGGTGGGCTGTGCATAGGTAGGTAGGTGGGTGGGCCGGCATGCCGTGCATAGGTAGGTAGGTAGGTGGGTGGGCCGTGCATAGGTAGGTAGGTGGGTGGGCCGGCATGCTGTGCATAGGTAGGTGGGTGGGCCTGCATGCCGTTCAGAACGTGAGGGCAGGAGGGGAAGGGGATGTGCCGGCCACCATTGCCATCATTTACAGCCAGCTGTCATTGCCATCATCATGTGAGCGACTCCTGAGATGAGATGTCCCGAATGAGTGAGCTTGCAGTCGTTCGGGTGACTTGACGAAGAAAGGGGAGGGGGGTGTGCAGAACGGCTGCAAGCTCTCAGCTTGCCAGCCAGCATTGCCAGCATTGCCACCACGGCCTCTCAGCTACGTGATAGAAGTGTATTTTTGAGACATCTAAAAAATACAGGAAGGGAGGGGAGGGGGGGTGTGCCAGCCACCATGCCACCATTACCAGCATTGCTACCACGGCCTCTCAGCTGCAGCAGCTTTTGAGACGTCTCAAAAGTCGTTCGGGTGACTTGAGGAAGGGAGGAGAGGGGGGGTGTGCCAGTCACCATTCCACTATTGCCAGCATTGCCACCACGGCCTCTCAGCTGCAGCACCTGGCATGGCACGGGACGGCCATGTGGCCTTAAAGCCATTACCCCACTCCCTGTCATTCATTTCTCCTCCTCTCCTCCCCACTGCCCCCTCCCCCCCCCCCCCCCCCCCCCCCCCACTCACATTCCTGCTGGGCTGACCGCCTCTCAGCTGCAGCAGCTGGCAAGAGATTGTCATGCTGCCCTTTTCGCACACCCTGTCACACGTTTCCCCATCTCCCGTCCCCACTCTCCTTACTCACACCCCTGCAGGGTTGACGGCCTCTCAGCTGCAGCACCTGGCACGGGACGGCCATTCGGCTGTGAAGGCTGCCAGAAGAGACGTGGCTCTCGTGGTGAGGCGTGGTGGGGCGTGGTAAGTCAGTGGTGAGGCGTGGTGAGGCGTGGTGAAGTGTGGTGGTGGCTCTCGTGGTGAGGCGTGGTGGGGCATGGTGGAGTGTGGTGAGATATGGTGAGGTGTGGTGGGTGGCGCTGGTGGTGAGGCAGCGGTGTGGAGCTAGGGTGGTGGTGAGGTGAGGCGAGGCATGCCTATTACGGTGCTTACTCACAACGATGTTCTCCCCCTCGTGCAGTGAAACTACGTGAAACAAGTAGATTTTTTAGACGTCTCAAAAATCTACTTGTTTCTAGGGCGGTGGGGTGGTGAGGCATGTCTAATACGGTGCTTACTCACAGCATTGTTCTCCCCCTCGTGCAGTGAAACTTGCCATGTCAAATGCATTTACTGCCAGGAATGACAAGCGATAGCAGCCAGCCATGCATCCTCTGCCATTCACCCACGTGCTCCCTCTGTCCTCCTCCGCGTTTACAGGAGTCACCTCTGTGTGTGTCGGCCACCATGCTACTTCTTGAGACATGGTTCAATGCAAAAAAAAAAAAAAAAAAAACATTGTTCTGTTGTTCATTTTCCTTCTTTCTTTCACCGCAGGTGTCTCAAGGCCTCACAGGAGCCACCACTGTATCGGCCACCATGCTACTTTCTCACAAGGTGGGGTTTTGATGCATCACACCATGCAGTGTGAGTACCATGGTTTTTGTGTGCCTGCCTCTTGGCGTTGCAGGGATTTTTTTAGAATTCTCAAAAAGGGTTTTTTTTTTTACGTCGCAGGGATTTTTTTAGAGTTCTCAAAATGGGATTTTTTGACGTTGCAGGGATTTTTTTGAGAATTCTAAAAAAATCCCTACACCATGCAGCGTGAGTGCCATGGTTTTTATGCGCCTGCCTCTTTTCCATGCCTGCCTGCCTGCCTCCTTTCTGTTCATACCTCTTTTCCGTGCCTGCCGTTTCCGTGTCTTACCCCTTTCCATGTCCACAGGTGGGCATACCTGTGTTTGTGACGGGAGGCATTGGAGGCGTGCACTGAGGGGGAGAGAACAGTAAGCCCATACTTGTTCGTGCTCACTACCCCCTTTCCCTTCTGCCCCCTTTCCCTTCTGCCCCCTTTCCCTTCTGCCCCTTTCCCTTCTGCCCCTTTCCCTTCTGCCCCTTTCCCTTCTTCCCCCTTTCCCTTCTGCCCCTTTCCCTTCTGCCCCCTTTCCCTTCTGCCCCTTTCCCTTCTGCCCCCTTTCCCTTCTGCCCCTTTCCCTTCTGCCCCTTTCCCTTCTGCCCCTTTCCCATCCGCCCCTTTCCCTTCTGCCCCTTTCCCTTCTGCCCCTTTCCCTTCTGCCCCTTTCCCTTCTGCCCCCTTTCCCTTCTGCCTCTTTCCCTTCTGCCCCCTTTCCCTTCTGCCCCTTTCCCTTCTGCCCCTTTCCCTTCTGCCCCTTTCCCATCCGCCCCTTTCCCTTCTGCCCCTTTCCCTTCTGCCCCTTTCCCTTCTGCCCCCTTTCCCTTCTGCCCCCTTTCCCTTCTGCCCCTTTCCCTTCTCCCCCCTTTCCCTTCTGGCCCCCTTCCCTTCTGCCCCGTTCTCTTCTGTCTGCCCCCTTACCGTCTACTCCCTTTCCAATTCTGCAGGTGGGCATCCCTGTGTTTGTGACAGGGGGCATTGGCGGCGTGCACCGAAGGGGGGAGATCAGTAAGCAGCGATAGGGGGAGGAGACGTGAGGGGAAGGGGGGAGAGCAGTAAGGGGAGAGGAGGGGAGATGCAAAGGGTGAAGGAAAAGAAGCAAGGGAGAGGGGGAGTGGAGAAAGGGAAGAGCAGGAGAGCAGTACTGGGAAGGGGGGAGGTGTGAAGTTGGACGAGGGAAGTGAGAACTCCGAATGCCAGTTCACTTTCTTTCATCCACCCAGCCCTTTCAAAATCTTCACTCCACGTTTTAATTCCGCATAAAATCCCATCTTTTGAGTTAACTCAAAAGCCATCCCCTCTCCCCTTTCCCCATCGCCTGCCAGCACTTTTGAGAATTCTCAAAATCGCCTGCCAGCAGTGGACGTCTCATCTTTCCCTTTTTACGGAGCTGCTCTTTCTCCTCCCCCTTCTTCCGTTGTCCCTCCTCTTCCCCTCTCCCCCATTCCCCCGCCAGCAATGGACGTTTCATCTGACCTCACAGAGCTCGGTCGCACACCCGTGGCCGTGGCATGCGCAGCAGGGTTGAAGCCCAGTCGCAGAAGGAGGGCTCTCTTGAGTCGACTCAAAAGTCACCTTGAAGCCCGGTCGCAGAACGAGGGCTCTCCATGTTCCCCCTTCTTCCGTTGTCCCTCCTCCTCCCCCCTCCCCCATCCCCGATCCCCCCCCAGCAATGGACATCTCATCAGATCTAACAGAGCTGGGTCGCACGCCCGTGGCCGTGGTGTGTGCAGGAGTCAAGTCAGTGCTCGATGTCCCCCCTCTTCCCCCATCCCCTCTCCCCCTTTCCCCCGCCCTCCTCCCCACTCCGCCACCCCCCCCCCCCCAGCAATGGACATCTCATCTGATCTCACAGAGCTCGCTCGCACGCCCGTGGCTGTGGTGTGTGCGGGAGTCAAGTCCGTGCTCGATATTCCGCGCACTCTTGAATACCTGGTGAGTGGTGTGAGCGGGATAGAGGATTGAGTCGTCTCGCAAGGTTCGTGGCCGTGGTGTGTGCGGGAGTCAAGTCCGTGCTCGATATTCCGCGCACTCTTGAATACCTGGTGAGTGGTGTGAGCGGGATAGAGGATTGAGTCGACTCGCAAGGTTCGTGGCCGTGGTGTGTGCGGGAGTCAAGTCCGTGCTCGATATTCCGCGCACTCTTGAATACCTGGTGAGTGGTGTGAGCGGGATAGAGGATTGAGTCGACTCGCAAGGTTCGTGGCCGTGGTGTGTGCGGGAGTCAAGTCCGTGCTCGATATTCCGCGCACTCTTGAATACCTGGTGAGTGGTGTGAGCGGGATAGAGGATTGAGTCGACTCGCAAGGTTCGTGGCCGTGGTGTGTGCGGGAGTCAAGTCCGTGCTCGATATTCCGCGCACTCTTGAATACCTGGTGAGTGGTGTGAGCGGGATAGAGGATTGAGTCGACTCGCAAGGTTCGTGGCCGTGGTGTGTGCGGGAGTCAAGTCCGTGCTCGATATTCCGCGCACTCTTCAATACCTGGTGAGTGGTGTGAGCGGGATAGAGGATTGAGTCGACTCGCAAGGTTCGTGGCCGTGGTGTGTGCGGGAGTCAAGTCCGTGCTCGATATTCCGCGCACTCTTGAATACCTGGTGAGTGGTGTGAGCGGGATAGAGGATTGAGTCGACTCGCAAGGTTCGTGGCCGTGGTGTGTGCGGGAGTCAAGTCCGTGCTCGATATTCCGCGCACTCTTGAATACCTGGTGAGTGGTGTGAGCGGGATAGAGGATTGAGTCGACTCGCAAGGTTCGTGGCCGTGGTGTGTGCGGGAGTCAAGTCCGTGCTCGATATTCCGCGCACTCTTGAATACCTGGTGAGTGGTGTGAGCGGGATAGAGGATTGAGTCGACTCGCAAGGTTCGTGGCCGTGGTGTGTGCGGGAGTCAAGTCCGTGCTCGATATTCCGCGCACTCTTGAATACCTGGTGAGTGGTGTGAGCGGGATAGAGGATTGAGTCGACTCGCAAGGTTCGTGGCCGTGGTGTGTGCGGGAGTCAAGTCCGTGCTCGATATTCCGCGCACTCTTGAATACCTGGTGAGTGGTGTGAGCGGGATAGAGGATTGAGTCGACTCGCAAGGTTCGTGGCCGTGGTGTGTGCGGGAGTCAAGTCCGTGCTCGATATTCCGCGCACTCTTGAATACCTGGTGAGTGGTGTGAGCGGGATAGAGGATTGAGTCGACTCGCAAGGTTCGTGGCCGTGGTGTGTGCGGGAGTCAAGTCCGTGCTCGATATTCCGCGCACTCTTGAATACCTGGTGAGTGGTGTGAGCGGGATAGAGGATTGAGTCGACTCGCAAGGTTCGTGGCCGTGGTGTGTGCGGGAGTCAAGTCCGTGCTCGATATTCCGCGCACTCTTGAATACCTGGTGAGTGGTGTGAGCGGGATAGAGGATTGAGTCGACTCGCAAGGTTCGTGGCCGTGGTGTGTGCGGGAGTCAAGTCCGTGCTCGATATTCCGCGCACTCTTGAATACCTGGTGAGTGGTGTGAGCGGGATAGAGGATTGGGTCGACTCGCAAGGTTCGTGGCCGTGGTGTGTGCGGGAGTCAAGTCCGTGCTCGATATTCCGCGCACTCTTGAATACCTGGTGAGTGGTGTGAGCGGGATAGAGGATTGAGTCGACTCGCAAGGTTCGTGGCCGTGGTGTGTGCGGGAGTCAAGTCCGTGCTCGATATTCCGCGCACTCTTGAATACCTGGTGAGTGGTGTGAGCGGGATAGAGGATTGAGTCGACTCGCAAGGTTCGTGGCCGTGGTGTGTGCGGGAGTCAAGTCCGTGCTCGATATTCCGCGCACTCTTGAATACCTGGTGAGTGGTGTGAGCAGGATAGAGGATTGAGTCGACTCGCAAGGTTCGTGGCCGTGGTGTGTGCGGGAGTCAAGTCCGTGCTCGATATTCCGCGCACTCTTGAATACCTGGTGAGTGGTGTGAGCGGGATAGAGGATTGAGTCGACTCGCAAGGTTCGTGGCCGTGGTGTGTGCGGGAGTCAAGTCCGTGCTCGATATTCCGCGCACTCTTGAATACCTGGTGAGTGGTGTGAGCGGGATAGAGGATTGAGTCGACTCGCAAGGTTCGTGGCCGTGGTGTGTGCGGGAGTCACGTCCGTGCTCGATATTCCGCGCACTCTTGAATACCTGGTGAGTGGTGTGAGCGGGATAGAGGATTGAGTCGACTCGCAAGGTTCGTGGCCGTGGTGTGTGCGGGAGTCAAGTCCGTGCTCGATATTCCGCGCACTCTTGAATACCTGGTGAGTGGTGTGAGCGGGATAGAGGATTGAGTCGACTCGCAAGGTTCGTGGCCGTGGTGTGTGCGGGAGTCAAGTCCGTGCTCGATATTCCGCGCACTCTTGAATACCTGGTGAGTGGTGTGAGCGGGATAGAGGATTGAGTCGACTCGCAAGGTTCGTGGCCGTGGTGTGTGCGGGAGTCAAGTCCGTGCTCGATATTCCGCGCACTCTTGAATACCTGGTGAGTGGTGTGAGCGGGATAGAGGATTGAGTCGACTCGCAAGGTTCGTGGCCGTGGTGTGTGCGGGAGTCAAGTCCGTGCTCGATATTCCGCGCACTCTTGAATACCTGGTGAGTGGTGTGAGCGGGATAGAGGATTGAGTCGACTCGCAAGGTTCGTGGCCGTGGTGTGTGCGGGAGTCAAGTCCGTGCTCGATATTCCGCGCACTCTTGAATACCTGGTGAGTGGTGTGAGCGGGATAGAGGATTGAGTCGTCTCGCAAGGTTCGTGGCCGTGGTGTGTGCGGGAGTCAAGTCCGTGCTCGATATTCCGCGCACTCTTGAATACCTGGTGAGTGGTGTGAGCGGGATAGAGGATTGAGTCGACTCGCAAGGTTCGTGGCCGTGGTGTGTGCGGGAGTCAAGTCCGTGCTCGATATTCCGCGCACTCTTGAATACCTGGTGAGTGGTGTGAGCGGGATAGAGGATTGAGTCGACTCGCAAGGTTCGTGGCCGTGGTGTGTGCGGGAGTCAAGTCCGTGCTCGATATTCCGCGCACTCTTGAATACCTGGTGAGTGGTGTGAGCGGGATAGAGGATTGAGTCGACTCGCAAGGTTCGTGGCCGTGGTGTGTGCGGGAGTCAAGTCCGTGCTCGATATTCCGCGCACTCTTGAATACCTGGTGAGTGGTGTGAGCGGGATAGAGGATTGAGTCGACTCGCAAGGTTCGTGGCCGTGGTGTGTGCGGGAGTCAAGTCCGTGCTCGATATTCCGCGCACTCTTGAATACCTGGTGAGTGGTGTGAGCAGGATAGAGGATTGAGTCGACTCGCAAGGTTCGTGGCCGTGGTGTGTGCGGGAGTCAAGTCCGTGCTCGATATTCCGCGCACTCTTGAATACCTGGTGAGTGGTGTGAGCGGGATAGAGGATTGAGTCGACTCGCAAGGTTCGTGGCCGTGGTGTGTGCGGGAGTCAAGTCCGTGCTCGATATTCCGCGCACTCTTGAATACCTGGTGAGTGGTGTGAGCGGGATAGAGGATTGAGTCGACTCGCAAGGTTCGTGGCCGTGGTGTGTGCGGGAGTCACGTCCGTGCTCGATATTCCGCGCACTCTTGAATACCTGGTGAGTGGTGTGAGCGGGATAGAGGATTGAGTCGACTCGCAAGGTTCGTGGCCGTGGTGTGTGCGGGAGTCAAGTCCGTGCTCGATATTCCGCGCACTCTTGAATACCTGGTGAGTGGTGTGAGCGGGATAGAGGATTGAGTCGACTCGCAAGGTTCGTGGCCGTGGTGTGTGCGGGAGTCAAGTCCGTGCTCGATATTCCGCGCACTCTTGAATACCTGGTGAGTGGTGTGAGCGGGATAGAGGATTGAGTCGACTCGCAAGGTTCGTGGCCGTGGTGTGTGCGGGAGTCAAGTCCGTGCTCGATATTCCGCGCACTCTTGAATACCTGGTGAGTGGTGTGAGCGGGATAGAGGATTGAGTCGACTCGCAAGGTTCGTGGCCGTGGTGTGTGCGGGAGTCAAGTCCGTGCTCGATATTCCGCGCACTCTTGAATACCTGGTGAGTGGTGTGAGCGGGATAGAGGATTGAGTCGACTCGCAAGGTTCGTGGCCGTGGTGTGTGCGGGAGTCAAGTCCGTGCTCGATATTCCGCGCACTCTTGAATACCTGGTGAGTGGTGTGAGCGGGATAGAGGATTGAGTCGTCTCGCAAGGTTCGTGGCCGTGGTGTGTGCGGGAGTCAAGTCCGTGCTCGATATTCCGCGCACTCTTGAATACCTGGTGAGTGGTGTGAGCGGGATAGAGGATTGAGTCGACTCGCAAGGTTCGTGGCCGTGGTGTGTGCGGGAGTCAAGTCCGTGCTCGATATTCCGCGCACTCTTGAATACCTGGTGAGTGGTGTGAGCGGGATAGAGGATTGAGTCGACTCGCAAGGTTCGTGGCCGTGGTGTGTGCGGGAGTCAAGTCCGTGCTCGATATTCCGCGCACTCTTGAATACCTGGTGAGTGGTGTGAGCGGGATAGAGGATTGAGTCGACTCGCAAGGTTCGTGGCCGTGGTGTGTGCGGGAGTCAAGTCCGTGCTCGATATTCCGCGCACTCTTGAATACCTGGTGAGTGGTGTGAGCGGGATAGAGGATTGAGTCGACTCGCAAGGTTCGTGGCCGTGGTGTGTGCGGGAGTCAAGTCCGTGCTCGATATTCCGCGCACTCTTGAATACCTGGTGAGTGGTGTGAGCGGGATAGAGGATTGAGTCGACTCGCAAGGTTCGTGGCCGTGGTGTGTGCGGGAGTCAAGTCCGTGCTCGATATTCCGCGCACTCTTGAATACCTGGTGAGTGGTGTGAGCGGGATAGAGGATTGAGTCGACTCGCAAGGTTCGTGGCCGTGGTGTGTGCGGGAGTCACGTCCGTGCTCGATATTCCGCGCACTCTTGAATACCTGGTGAGTGGTGTGAGCGGGATAGAGGATTGAGTCGACTCGCAAGGTTCGTG